TGGACTCATCTAAATGATTAAGATAAAGAATAAACAAGTCAAGGCAATTGGAACATAGTACAGGGGAAAGAAGGAAGAATATTTAGGAGATAAATAGGATTTGGAATCAAGGATGGCCATAGCTTGTAAATGACAATAAATAAATACAGGAATACAAGAGAAGAAGAGAGCCTCAAGGGAAGATTAATTCTAAATTTGGAAACATGTCAAGTTTGAAATGCTCAAGGGAATTCTACAAAATATTTTCCTACTTTATTGATAGCAGTGAGTACAGTGCTTACACAAACACTCAAAATTTGTTGAATTAGATTTCCATTATTAATTTGTTAAAAGTAGCCATGATGATAGTTAAATTCTTGGATCTACTATGTAAGATAATTATATTTGAATGAGTTATTTTTTCTTGAAAAGTCAGTATTTCAGGTTTTTAGCTAGATGAATTTAAAGATGTTTTTCTTCATTGTGCTCATGTTAAACTTTGAAAGTTTGAAGGAAAAAGAGAAAAACTTCAGGTCCAAAATACAGAAGGAAAACCTTTCTAGGTCAGATAAGCTTTTGTTAACTTAATTAAGATTAAATAGTAATAGGAAATCATCTCTGTCCAGAACTGAAAACCTCTTCTTCCCAAGGTGCTAGAATCAAAGGAAACCTGTTGATGTTAGAGCTGGGTAGTGATGATGGAGTGTTTGGGTATTTTGTTTTGTTTTGGGCTTGACTGATTCAAAAGCTAGAGCTACATCTGCCAGAAAAGACAGACATCACAGAAAGTCTGTACAACTGGTTAGACTAACTAATAATCACATAACAACTGGTTGTGGATTTGCCCCTTCTGCAGCCAGGTGAGGGCTGGTAATAATTTTGCATCCTTTCCAAGTTTTAGCTCACTCACAGTTGATGTTTGCCACATAACTAAAGGCACCATCCAAAACCACTCTTGGGCAAGAGCTACCTGGATCCTGTTTGTTGTCCTGTATAAACACTGGGAAAACAAAATTCCATTTATACCTATGAAGAGAAACACCTGCTTTTCTAATCAGCAGGAACATTTTAGTCAAAATTGATGCATACCAGTTGGGAAATTGTTTATAGATTCATGATGGCAACACACCCTCTCTTGCTGCTTTGACAGATGAAAGAGACACCCCGAGACCTTTAATCTCACCTATGGCGACAGGGGCCCACTGGAGCAGGTTTGTTATGTCTATGATAGAATTCTCACCACAAATCAAAGAGAACACACCAAGATCTTACACTGTTGACTACAGCAATCCTTCTCAGGTATCTGTGAATCTATAGTGGGAATGGTTTCATTGAACACCAAAAGATACAAGGCTCCCAAACTCAAATTTTTTTTGCTCCAATACAGCAGATCTTAGTTATTGCTTTTACTGTACAACAAATTCCTCTGCCAGTCCCTGAGTCGAGCACAGAGGAAAATGTCGTTGTTATTAACGAATTTCTGCCCTTTAATGTTTTGTATGAGACCAATAATCTTCATTTTCCCAGCTTGCTACATTAATCATCAAACCATCCTTTTTTGCAAAATGCTTTAGATATTCTTGGTTGTTTAAAATAAGGCTAACAGTGATTTAAGATGTTGGGTGACAGTTTAGAAAGCTTATAAAACACTCAGTGTCAGCACTGGAGACTTCCTGAGGTACAAGTGGTACAAATTGTTCAAGAGTTAAGCAACAATTAGGCCTCTGTGATGAATGACTTTAGAGACTTTGTGATGAAGGGAGTCAGTTGAGAAAGATGATCTTATCAGTTCTATGTTGTAACTGGAAAGGCAAAGGCTCCCACAAATATTTCAGCTCCAACATGAAAACATCAAAATGGGTAACACTGCTCCAGAATCAACAGAGAATATTGATATGGTGATATGTATATACCTTACCATCAAGATGGCACACATTAGAAATAAGGATTAATAAAAAATAATTTGTATATAATAATAGTACACAACAATTATAAAATCAGATGGGTGAAGTAATTTTCCCTGACATGCTTAACTCATGATTATGAAAATTAAGAATTTTTAACAAGTAATATTTATAAGCCAATATTCTAGTTCTGATGACTCAAAGAGCTTTACTGTAGTTTGCAAATTCCATGACTCTCCCTGTCAACTGGTTGATCCTATGGCAGAAGATATATATAATGCAATCATGTGGGAAAGGCATCTTATGTTTTTATTATTTATTTATTGGCCACACCATGTGGCTTGTGGGATTTTAGTTCCCAACCAGCGATTGAACCTGGGCCTTTGGCAGTGAGAAGGTAGAGCCTTAACCACTGGACCGTGGGGGAATTCCTGCATCTTCTGGTTTTTAATTGGAGCCATGTGAGAAATCACTGGAAGATTTCTCTTTTTAGACTTCCAGAGCACTGAAGCTGAAAAAAAGAAAAACAGATACCCTCCCCCAAAACACTAACTGAAGACACATTATGTAAAAATAAATAAATAAACCTTTTCTAAATGAGGGAAAAAACCCAATCTGTATGTTGTCTTTCAAAGTCCCCAGTTTCTGTGGGTTGACAACCTTTGGCTTGCTTTTGCAGCCAACTCTGATACGGGGCTGGATCAGCTGCAAGTTCCCTGTTTCTTCCTCTTTCAAGCTGCCTGCTCTTGTGTTTCTCAGTCTTGACCTCTTGCAAATAGGATAGGCCCCAGAAGGATATCTTCTTATGGAAGAAGTAAGTAAATATACAGTATCCTGCAGCTTAAAATCTGTTCTGCAATGGCATGGTCGAGTTTCAATTTGCTAAAATCTAAACTTGAAATGCCATGCTTTCTATTGTTGGTGCAGCCTCTCGCCTCTCTTGAGATGCAGTTCTATATACCACACAAAAGTGTAACATGACTCCATTAGCAGAATGTATAGAAGAACCAATGCAGAGTCAATAACTTTTGGATATTCATAAAAATCAGAGGATCAAGATGGATTACAGCAGTCACCTTGGGGCTGAAAAAGAGGATCAGAAGAAACCTTTAGACTTGTCTTCTCACTCATGACTGCACTCTGGTTTACAAAGGGACACAAGAAAGAACAATTGAATCGGTATCTGAGAGGATGATCAACCAAGACAATCTCCATTGCAGTTTCCGCTGACACTCCTGAGATCTAGAGACAACAGGAGCCAAGTAAGCTCATCATCGAAAGCAATGTAGTGGTAATGTGTGCAAAACTTGCCAAAATGTGGATAAAATTCAGCTCAGCAAACCCTTGTCTGATTAAGAGCTGGGCAAAGAAGAATAAGGAAGAGAAAGAGTTTCTATGAAGGACGTTCTTAAACTTTGTGATCTTTCTCCATCTTGGGAGGTTGTTTCATTCCTGCTTTAAGCTAAGTGAGACGGGACTTCAACACACCAACTTTGAGAGGTAGACATGTGTCCTCTGGGGACTGGGAGCATGAGAACTGGTATGAGACATGATGCTATAGATCAGCTTTGAAGTGGCAGAGAGTGAGACAGCAAGGGTGAGAGTGAGAGCTAGAGAAAGAGAGGAACAAAAGGCAGGGCTGCACTGGGAGCTCATGATATGTCTGGTAACAGCACAGCAAGGATGAATGAGTGTTTCTTGTGGACAACACGGGGGCAACTGAGTGTAGCAAGCCCAGGGTCATGCTGTATACTTTCCAAGAGGATGCCTGGAGAAGCAATGTGACCCGCAAACAGGAAGATGGACAATTGGAAGCCAAGGGGCTAAGGAAGGAATACAGCTCTGAGGGAAGTATTCCTCGGTCAAAGAAGCTATTATCAGAGGGCCCAGTAGGGGTGTCTTCAAGGAAGCCCACAAGAGCACTCTACACAGAAATAATTAGCATGCTATACCCAGAAAGTACATTCATGGATTAGGCTTATGCCCCTCAAGTAAGCCTTTTGATGCCCTTAACATCACCCTAACCTGACCCAAGGGCTTATTCAGTGGCTCAGCAGTAAAGAATCTGCCTGCAGTGTAGGACACTTGGGTTGGATTCCTGGGTCAGGAAGATCCCCTGGAGAAGCGCATGGCAACCCACTCCATTATTCTTGCCTGGAGAATCCCAAGAACAGAGGAACCTGGTGGGCTACAGTCCATAGGTTCACAAAGAGTTGGACACGACTGAAGTGACTTAGCGTGCATGCATGCAGGCATACAACCTGACCCAATGGAGAAAGGGATGGAAGAAGAAGAGAGGCAAAGCATGATGTAGAAATAGGAAAGAAGCCTCCTGTACCCTCTCTCTTACTTTCGGCTTTTGAGACTGAGGTGATGCTGAGCTAGGGGAAAGAAATCACTTCATGTGGTTATAACACAGGTCTGGGCAATTTTAGTACTGAAGTGAGAGTCTTCTTATGCCTGAATGTGACTGAAGTCCTATTATTATCCAAAAGTGGCATTAAAATTATGAGAGCAACAAGAGTTTACACAAGAGTAGGCAGGAAATAATGCACAGAGTTTGAAAGAATGGGATGGGGGAGCAAGGAAGAAAAAATATTTTCTGCTAACATTTTATCAGCTAAGACTATTTAATCACTAGATACAAATAAAATCAATTTTACCATGAGGAACAAAAAACTTTTCAAAACACAGACTCTTCTGTTAATGCACTGGATAAACCAATGGAGGAAGGTAATCTATCCATTAGCAATTAAATTGCCTTGTTTTCAATCTGTCTCCATTAAAGACATCTCCCACTTTCTGTGGACAGAATTTCTGATGGGAAGGCTCAGAGTGGACTAGAAAAGGCAAGTGTTCTCCATCTCCCTGCTTATGTTGGCCAGTGATTCTAGTCTTCAGGTGTCTACATAAACACTAATTACTTTAACACTTCATTTTGTAGAGCCTCGAGTTGTGACTACTATTTGATTTGGCTGAGTGATGATGAATACATTATTTAATCTCCTCCGGACATAGTTTCTTTGATGAAAAATAAGATTGATGATGCAATTAAAGATGCAATGAGAAATTTTAAAAAGTCAAAAGCTACAAAAATCAGAGAGCCAGCATAAATACCTCATGGAAATGACACCCACACGTCCCCTGCAAAAACTCTTTGTGTCGCCCCATGGTTATAGAGAATGTGTCAACCACTTCATAGCCATATTTTTTAGCAGCTTCCAGGATAATCAAATTTTTTTTCCATAAATTCTGAACTTCACTCTGTATTGGAAAAGAGAAGAGAGAATTTTGATTAGGGACTGTTTTATGATTTAATAACTCAAGTTGAAACCACGTAAAAGTCATCTTTTTTATAGATTGATCTTATTATAAGACAAAGAATGAATTTCTTTAAGATGTGTTCTAATTTTTTCAAAATATAAATATTTGTGCATCTATAAAACAACAATACATCAATGTCTATAGTGGCACAGTTCAGAACTGTTTCTTCTATGAAAAGTGGTTAGGTTTGCTGTCCACAGAGATCCACTGACGTATCTAAAATTCTCAATTTAAAAACCAAGACTTGAAAATACAAATTCTATCTCTATTTGAATTCTGCGTTTGAATATTAATTAGTATTTGTTTTGCGCTCAGCTTTGTGCTGAAGGACAGGTATACAATGGCAAATAAACCACAGTGCCTATTCTTAAGACAGGGCATTCAAACAGGAGAAACAAATATGTAAATATTTATTGAGTCCTTTATTGGAGGGAAATATACCAGACTCTGGGCTTAGCTGATGGCTCAGTGGTAAAGAATCCGCCTGTAATGTGGGAGACGCCGGAGGTGCGGGTTCGATCCCTGGGTCAGGAAGATCCCCTAGAGGAGGGCATGGCAACCCACTCCAGGATTCTTGCTCACAGAATCCGATGGACAGAGGAGCCTGGCGGTCTACAGTCCAAAGGGTCACAAAACAACTGAGCTCCCGCACACAAACCAGACTCTGGCTTGGGAGAGAAAGGGGAACAGCTCTGCAGGGGCATGGCAGACTTCAAGAGGGCTTCCTGAGCAAAATGAGGTTTGCTGTTGGCTTCTGGGAGGCCCAGAAGTAAGTGAAGTCTCCATCTGCTGCTTTTGTAAGTCATATTCCTCCCTCCCTCCCCAACCATGCTCAAGGCATTGATGGAGATCAGCAGAGGTTCTAGTTTAGGTCCACTGTTGAGAAGACGGACTCCTCCACTAAGTATATGGCTCCAGGATTTCTCATCGGCTTGACCAGGGCTTTCTCAGACTTACCTGTAGTCTGAGATTCTTGCTACCTAATCCACCCTTCTTCCACTCCCTTCGTATCAGACACATTATAGCCAAACATGGTTCCCAGTACATAGTGGACGCTCAAGAAATATTTGGTTAAAAAAAAAAAAAGAAAGAAATATTTGGTGTAAGACTGAGTGATATGCATTGGGTGGTGTGGTCTGAAACTCTTCCCACCTACTCCTGCCCCCTCCCTTTTATTCTTCTCAGACGTTCTTTCCAATAAATCCCCTTATCTGGTTGATCCTGTCCTGGTGTCTGTCTCTTTGAGAACCCATACTGCCACGGGGAGGGAATTGTACTCCCTCTTCCTTTTCTAAAGATCAAAAAAAAATTTTTTTTTATTTTCAAGGTAGAAAAGCAAATAATTATTTGCATTTGTTAATCCAACTACAAGATAAAAGAAGCAGTACAAAGGTGTCTAATTTTCTGTCTTTTCTGTGATGGCACACCTATTTCAGTGACAAAGAAGAGTGTTTCTCCCCAGATGAATGTAGTGAATAGAGAAGGATCATAAAGGAGAAATCTGGAGGAAAAGGAACAGATGGGAAACAGTCTGTGTCATTACCTGAAAAATACTGCTCAAGGTGCTCAATAACGTTTGTGAAGTTTTTTCTTGTCTAGTTACAAGTACCCTCTCAGCTTTAAGGTGCCCAGTTATAAAAAGTAGAAGATACTTTGAAGTAAGTGGTTTCTAGAGAAAGGTCAGTTCTCTGAGAAAGAGACTCTGAGCCAGAAACTGGCATGCAGGGGGCCAGCAGGAGGTCCCCTCCCTCCTTGGGATCAACACCTCCAAGGGAGTGAGGTAGAGACAGAAGTTGAGCTGCAATATTGTTGCAATACAGGCTTTTGCTGATCCCACCAGAAGTTCTAGAGCTGGGAAAGCATTTCTGAGATGGTCCAGATTTAGAAAAGGGGGCTGAGTCCTGACTGAGGCTCTGCCCAAAAGGAAGAAGAGGCTTTCTGAGAGTCTCCTGTGTGCTGAGATTTGTGGTTTGCATTTGGGGACCAGAATGAGCAGTGCAGACGTCCCTCCCCTACCCCATCCTTGCTCCCACTGAGATTAGACTGGAGGGGGGGCAGGCAAGCACAGGACGTGCTGAGGGTCACAGACAAGGACATCAGACAGTTACAGGAGCTCGTGGCAGGAACAGCCTATTGAGTCCAGGGTCTTTCCAGCCCAGAAGTCCTCAATTAGGTTTCCTCAGAGGAAACTGCACTTAAACTAACACTGGAAGGGCAAACAAAAGCTCCCCTTGGTGGTGGAGAGTGGGCTCCAAGAAGAGGGAACGGTAGCTTTAAAGATCTGGGGGTGACTGAGAGCTAGGCGTGCTTGAGGAGCCTAAACACTCAGTAGTGGAGTGAGTGCACGTGTGTGTGCACGTGTGTGTGTACATGTGAGTACACATGGGCGCATATGCACTGGACGCAAGGATCAAGTCTACCTAGGAAGGTGGAGGCCGCATCCTGAGTGGCCACGATGAGGACGATGAATGCCAGCGTCTGATGACGAGTTCAGGTTTCTTTTCTGCCTCCACTTACCACCATAATTTTCTCTTTTGTTTTATCATTTCCTCTCCTCTTCTTCCTTCCTTTCATCTTCGCCAAGTCTGCAAAACTGATGAGCACCATCGAAGCCCTGATGGCAGGCACCATGGTTCATGGTATCTGGCATACAGTAAGTGCCAAAGATCTGTTTGCTGAGATGAGTTCATTCTAAATCTACCTGGAGGCATCATAGGTCCTCCAGTTCCAGTTGAGAGGCCACAATCAAGGAAGCAAAGTGGAGCTACCAGAGTCCTCAAGCAGGAACTGCAAACATGACCTGCAGACCTCAAATAACATTAAAGGAGATTCAACTCATAACCCAAAGAAGAAATGATCAAAAGACCTTCTTCTAATCCCTGACCGTCTCAAACCCTTCAGCTACCCCAGATGCCAAATGTCTCAACTCATTTTACATGACCTCAACACCACCTGACTTCAAGAAGCTGAATTTGGTGGTTTTACTTTGACCACTTTCTACTATTTCTCATACTTTGGCATCACAGATCTGGTGGCCAGGAAAGTAAAGTTTTGAGAAAGGAGAGGGGGATCTTGTGATGTGTGCTGGAGAAAGCTAGGAGCACTTGTAACTGACACAAAAATAAATCTCACTTGGTTGACGCAGTCAATGGACAGCTTCCTGTCTCCCCGATTCCCAGTGCTTCCTGAGCTCCCCCTGAGCAACTGCACACAATCCGGGCTGCCTGTGAGCTCTCCTAGCTGAGCAAGAGCAGCTGGTTCTCTTACCTACAGATGGTGTCTTTCTTTAATGAGACTTGTACTTAGTGTTGAGACTACCGATTTACTGTCTTCTATGAGAACTGATCAGAGACCTCGACTCCTTTCGTTTACAAACATCCAACCTGAGGCAAAATGAATGATACTACTTCAAAGACGAATTCTGAAAGCAATCGGTCAGAAATCCTCTTCCCCAAAGCCATTCTTTTCCAAATTACTCACTGATACTGATAATTTCATGTGATTTTAGCAGGAGTCTTTACAGTGTCTGAAACATGAATGAGGGAAGAGGATATTTACAACATAAGCCCTCTCATCTAACCCTCAGGTTTTTACTTTTTCAAACTCTGGTCCAACTTTCTTCTTTATGAATCCAAAGCATTATTTATGGGCTGGTGTCCCCTTATGTTTCCCTTATGGGATACAATGGAAACAGTGAGAGACTTTATTTTGGGGGGCTCCAGAATCACTGCAGATGGTGATTGCAGCCATGAAATCAAAAGATGCTTACTCCTTGGAAGAAAAGTTATGACCAACCTAGACAGCATATTAAAAGCAGAGACATTACTTTGCCAACAAAGGTCCATCTAGTCAAAGCCATGGTTTATCCAGTAGTCATGTATGGATATGAGAGTTGGACTATAAAGAAAGCTGAGTGCAGAAGAATTGATGCTTTTGAACTATGGTGTTGGAGAAGACTCTTGAGTGTCCCTTGCACTGCAAGGAGATCCAACCAGTCCATCCTAAAGAAAATCAGTCCTTAATATTCATTGGAAGGACTGATGCTGAAGCTGAAACTCCAATACTTTGGCCACCTGATGCGAAGCTGACTCATTTGAAAAGACCCTGATGCTGGGAAAGATTGAAGGTGGGAGAAGAAGAGGATGACAGAGGATGAGATGGTTGGATGGCATCACTGACATGGTGGACATGAGTTTGAGTAGGCTCCAGGAGTTGGTGATGGACAGGGAAGCCTGGCATGCTGTAGTCCATGGGGTCGCAAAGAGTCGGACACAACTGAGTGACTGAACTGAACTGGCCCCTTATTTCCAGGAATCATTATAACTGATTTGAAATCATAATCCTTAAGTGTACCATCTCCTTTTAATTTTATGAAAGTTGTTGAAGGTTATACAGTGCCTTTTGGGTCCTTTTTCAGACACCAGCAAGGATCCGTAGTCCATGGGGTCGCAAAGAGTCGGACACAACTGAGTGACTGAACTGAACTGGCCCCTTATTTCCAGGAATCATTATAACTGATTTGAAATCATAATCCTTAAGTGTACCATCTCCTTTTAATTTTATGAAAGTTGTTGAAGGTTATACAGTGCCTTTTGGGTCCTTTTTCAGACACCAGCAAGGATCCTTACAGGAACCATGAAGTTCACACAGCCTGGAAAATATGGATTTACCTGGGTTAAGAAGTGTACTCCATCCACTGGCAAATGAAATCCAATTCCCAACGTTTTGATGATCACAAGGATATTGAGTAAGTTTTCCCTGTGAAATAAGCAGATCTCAAGTCATAAACTCTGATGACATTTCTAGATGTCCGTATTTACACAAGCAAGTGGAACGGAATTCCTTTAGAATGTGATAATTGCCATGTAGGACTAAATTCTCATTTTGTAGATTTGATGTACCTTAGTGCTTTTGTGTGTGTGTTTGTGGATAGAGTTTTATATGTCAGTGGGCATGTTTTGGTTTGTAGCAAATGGAGACTTGGATGCTGAAGAGCCATGTTGCAATACAAAATACAAAAGTATTTTTGAAACATTTAAAACTAGACTTGAACTGCTGAATTCTAAATTACAAGTTATTCTTTATATAAAATCTTGATAAAATTCACTCACATCAAGAGTAAATTTTTTTTATTTAGAATACAAATGATAATTATTGTTGCAGGAATTTACCTCTTTAAAACCTTGTGAATAATTTGCAGATGATTGGAATTAAGCCACTGAACACCACCAACAACCAATACAGTCTGACTGGTATTCTCCAGGGGACCTGATCTGAAATCCAGAAAGAAAAACAACACGTGTTGCCTTGAAACAGATGGTAAACATTTTAACAGCACTGCCTCACATTTCATTGAACCCTAGCTGGCATCCTGATCACAAGACCTCCTTATCATTTCTACCTCGTTTTCAGCCATATTATTAATACTTGGTATTTAAACTTTTCAGCACATCTGATACACAGCAAACAATCATGACTACTAGTAAAACATCAGTACATTGTGGTATGGTTTCGTTCAAAACTGCTCCATTGTACCTTTGCAAGAGATGTTCAAGGGCTTTTTCAAATGTTGGTCTCAATGAAGGGCTCATCCAAAACTGGGGATAGTAGGAATAACTGATCAAGGTCTTTCCTCCATTGACATTGTGGTAGAATTTAGTGCCATGCACCTTCTGCCATTCCTTCAGGGTTTCATTCAATCTTTCAATCAGATAGTACATTATCCCTCTGTTGGTTGAATCTCCAATGAAAAGAATCTATAAGTTAAAAAAAATTTTGCTTTCAAATCTGAAATGTACAAGATATAGAAGACAATATAAAACAAGTAACCTGATGAAAACAGAGACATACATCCAATTGCAGGACAGCCCTTTAAACTCTTAGAAACGACATTAATTCTTCTCTCCCAAACCTGTTCATTTTCCCTTTCCATATTCCTAGTAATGACATCATCCACTGACCCACTAACTCATGTTTAAAGCTCTTTGCTTTCTTTATGCTATCTTTAATTTCTCTATCCCTCTTAGGCACTTCACTTTCTCATCTAATCAGCTTAACGTGTTATTGATTCAAATAGGCGTGAAGTATTCTAGCGCTATGAGTACTTAGAGATGTTCCAATCTCTTGATTTTGTAGATGAGAAAACTGGGAATCCACAGAGGTTAGCTAGCTCAATAGAGGTCATGCTACTACTTGAGAAAAGAGCCACAGAACTAGAATTTGATTTTCTGAAAAGCAGTATATGTTCCAGGGTGCACATCCCAGGGCCATTTGCCATGGAAGCCTCTCATCTATCACCTCCTTTAAATTCCATAAGCACAGTCCTGCTTGAGGCTCCCATGGCCTCAAAGGTGTGCTATTGTTAACACTTGCCTAACAGATCTTCTTGTAACATGTGTGTAAGTCACCCATTCATGTCCAACTCTGCCACGCCATGGTCTGTAGACTGCCAGGCGCCTCTGTCCATGGAATTGTCCAGGCAAGAATACTGGAGTGGGTTGCTATTTCCTTCTCCAGGGAATCTTCCTGACCCAGGGATCAAACCTGGGTATCCTGCAATGCAGGCAGATTCTTGACCATCTGAGCCACCAGGGAAGCCCTCTTGCACCATGGCTGCCCTCTAATTCATTCTCCACACAGTAATACTGGGATAAATTTCCAAATGTCTCATCTCCCTTTCATGCTCAAAAACCTTATCAGCTCTCCATGTTCTGTGGAGTCAGGTTTTAACTCTGAGGTTCAGTTAACATTTACTGAATTTTTATTGCATATCGGCTTTTGCTAGGTGGAAATTTCACACTGAGTACTCACTTTTAATCTCCATAATCATGAGATATGAGTCATTATCTCTGTTTCACAAATGAGGTATTTGAGGCTCAGGGAGATTGAGGTTATAAATCTAGTAAATGGGGAACACAGGACTCAAATCCAAGTCCTTGATCTCCAAGTGCAGGGTCAATGGCCCCATCCTCTCAACACTTTCCTTCAAGTAAGCAGGTTAGATTTCTACTTTTTCACTGAACATGATTTGCAGTCAACAACATCTGTTTTTCCTTGTGCTAATCCATCTGCCTAGAAAGCCCTGCCCTCTGCAACCTAGTCTGTATAAATGCTACACAACCTCCAGACTTAACACAGACGTCTTTCCCAGAGGGTCTTGTCCAATGCCCCAGTCAGAATGACCTTTCTGTCCTCGGTGACTTCATTATAATTTTCAGTTCCATTACTGATTTTATCAAAGACTACATGAAATTACAGCTATTTGTGACTGTATCTTTTTTTCTTATATCATATCAATAAGTATTTAAGGCCAGAGTCAAGATTAATTTCTAAATTCTGATATCCCCCATAGTACTATGCATGCATTTTAAAAATATTTATTGAACTGAAAGTCAAAGGGACTTTTGTTAGAGACAATTTCTTTAATGTCTCTGGATAAGGTTTAATTCCTTCTTCAGTTCTTTGCTCTTTCTGTTGAGACTTCCCTTTGCATTGTGTGCTGTATGCTAAATTGCTTCAGTCGTGTCCAATTCTTTGTGACCCCATGGACCATAGCCTGCCAGGCTCCTCTGTCTACGGGAATTCTCCAGGCAAGAATGCTGGAGTGGGTTGCTGTGCCCCCCTCCAGAGGATCTTCCTGACCCAAGGGTTGAACCCACATCTTTTATGTCTCCTGAATTGACAGGCGGGTTCTTTACTACCAGCACAACCTGGGAAGTTCCCCTTTGCAATAGTCATGCACATATTTTCTTCTGATTTTAAAGTGGTCACTGCCATCACTTGTCAGGCACTTCTGCATTCACTCATCCATAATGAATTTAGTGAGACTCTGCGAAGGTTTATTCTTTCATGGTAAGTGTATTCAACAGTAGTGTGAAGAAATCCAGAAGGCATTCTCTTTCAGAATTTCCCTTCCAATCACTATTACAATAAGCATCGCCAAGCTCAACAGAGTGACCTAAGATGTCAAGGTCCCAGTCACTGATCCTCCAGGTCAAGTTCCATCTGCAGTGTCAACATCCCAGTATAAGAAAAATACTCTGTGAAATCACTTGAAATTCTCCTTACTGGATTTGACCTGTAACTATTTGTTTGTTTTTCTGGTCCAGAATTCTGATTTTTAAAAGGGAACTCTGAATAATCAGAAAAGCTCTTCATTTCAGAGACTAGTAAAGACCCAACTTCATTTGTGTTGTTAATAGTTTGCTAAGGCTGTCAAAACAAAGCAACACAGACTGGGTAGCTTAAATAACTGACATTTATTTTCTCATGATTCTTGCCTAGTAGTCCAAGATCAAAGTATTTGCATGGTTGGTTTCTTCTGAGGACATCTCTGCTTGACTTGTAGATGGTTATCTTCTGTGTCCACATATGGTCTTCTGTGTATGTCTGTGTCTTAATCTCCTCTACTTATAAGGACACAAGTCATATTGGAATAGGGCCCAGCATAATGACCTTATTTTTCCTGGTCAGTCTCTCAGTCATGTTTGACTCTTTGTGACCCCATGGACTGTAGCCCCACAGGCTCCTCGGTCCATGGGATTCTCCAGGCAAGAATACTGGAGTGGGTTGTCATTTCTTCCTCCAGGGGATCTTCCTAACCCAGGGATCAAACCAGGTCTCTTGCACTGCAGGCAGATTCTTTACCGTTGAGCCACCAGGCAAGCCCCCAATTTCCCTTAATTACCCCTTTGGAGGCCCTGTCTCCAAATACAGTCACATTCTGAAGTACTGAGAGCTAGAACTTCAAAACATGAATCTGATTGAGTAGAAACACAATTCAGCTCTCAATACCAGTAAGAGACCTTGGAAAGCCAGTTGAGCTAAATTTCCACTACAGATTTTTCTTACAGATTCTTTCCATCTCAGAATCAAGATGCAGTCCCTCCTAGCGTTATCTCTGGGCAGCCAGTAAGATCACTGGACGTCTGTGCTGTGGGCTACAGAAGCTGAAGAAAATCCAAGTAGCTGCCTGTTCCTAAGAGAAAACATGTTTTCTAAATGTCCAGTCTTTTCTGTGGGGTTGTAGGAAGATGCAGCCCACCAATGAATGACAGAGGCAAAGAATCTGTTTTTCAGAATTCTTAGATACTCTTATTTATTAACCAGATGATCTTAGACAAATTATGTGACTTCTTTGTGGGTTCATTTCCTTCTGTGTAAATTGGGGAAAATAATGGCAACACCATAGAAGACTTGAATGAGCTTTTAAATACTTATTTCTGGCACCCAGCACACAAGAAGTAAGAGTCAGCATGAAGGCACAGGAAAGGCAAGAAGCGTTTTGGAATACTTCTTGAGCGCCCTGCAGTGCACCGCTTGTTGGCTGTTCAGTTGCTAAGTCGTGTCCAGCTCTTTGTGACCCCACGGATTGCAGCATGCCAGGCTTCCCCGTCCTTCACTACCTCCCAGAACTGGCTCTAACTCATGCCCTTTGAGTTGGTGCACTTCTAGGCACTTTATTTTATTTTATTTTATTATTATTATTTTTTAATAGAAATTGGCCATGTATTTTATTTTTATATGACACCAACTTAGTGCCATCAATTTGCTTTGTTTTAATAGGAAATAGCTCATATGATTTTTTTCTTACAAGCATTCTGTAACTATCTTGGATTTCTCGTTGATCCAAGATTTAGGAGAGGGAGCTTCAGTTTCTAAGTGGCTGCATTTCTGTATTATTTTGTGTTACTGTAGTGTATACTTCGGCTGTTAATTGTTGGTTTTATGTAATATCTACTCTGGGATCGGTTGGCATGTGAGATCTTAGTTCCCCGACTGGGATTGAACCTGTGCTTCCTGTAGTGGAAGTACAGAGTCTTAAGCACAGGGCTACCAAGGAAATCCCTAGGCACTTTAAATTCATTAGCTATTTCAAAGAACAAGTCAGTGAAGATAGGAAGTGTCAAATCACAGCATCCTCTCTCTTGTCCTACTAACCCTGTTACAGACTCTCAACAGGGCTTGGAGGTTGCTGGTGAAGCACATTCTGAATCAAGCAGACTGATAACCTCTGAACAGTCCCTCATGTCTTCACTTCTCATCAGTAACTAACAAGCTCCAGGGAGAAGGAAGGGGCATCTGCAAAATACCACCACCATCTGCAAAACAAATTCTCCTAAACTGCAAACAGCGAGATAGCATTTTTTGAATCTAGTAGACACAGCTCTGACATAGAAGACTATGTTCTAGAGAATTCTTCTATCCCAGTGCCTTTCTATTCATGAAAGATAGAAATGACAAATTATAACTAAGATGTAAATGCACTTGTGAATTTAAGATTGCTGGTTCTGTAGAGAAAGCTGTTTTGGGAAGAGGTTAATTGGTATTCCTAACTAAAAGATTTCTAACTTCAAAATATCAGCTTTTAAAATGCACACAATTAGAAAATAATACCAGGAATAAGAGTGGTTCTTTTCAGCCACATGATTCGTATTTGGTCTTTATTTAGATCATTCAACTTGGTGAATTTTTAAAAGGAAATGAGTAAGTTATTTGTTTTCAACTTCCAATGTAAAGGGTCTAAATTATGATAACATATATGTATAACTAGCCATACAATTTGTAAAAAAACTCTTCTTTCCTGTGAAAATTACTGCCTTATACTAGCATGCACAGGTGTTGGCTGGCAGATGCAATCAAAGAAGAAAGAGTACAATTAACCAATACACAATTATAGAAATAATCAGCAATAAAATATTAAAATAGCTATTTCTTCTCCCTACCAATTTTTTTTAAAGCTCCAATGATATTAAGC